AACATATGCCCACACAAAAACCTGTACATGAATGTTCTTAGCAGCATTACTGATAACAGCCAAAATGTGAAACAACCCAAACGTCCATCAACTGATGAACAGATAAACAACAAGTGGTATATCCATACAATGGAACATTATTTACCAATAAAAAGGTGTAAGTAGTGATATATGCTACCATATGGATGAATCTTGTAGAACATTATGCTAAATGAAAGGAGCAGGTGCATTCAACAGGCTACTTGTACTATATATTTCCTTCAACTATTTTTCCTCTATACATTTTACACTCTACCACACAAATACTATGTCCTCTATGCTTTTTGCCCAGTGACCCAAAATAAAACCTTTTGACCTTCTATGACCCACTAGACTCTACTAGAACATCTCTTTCGCTCTGCCTAATTGTTACAGTCATCTATGGACATGTCCAGTGTCCCCTGCTTTCTGACGATAAGACTGTCAATCAATTTTGTATCTTTTATAGTACAATGCCTTACATATAAGGGTGTTCACTGTTCTTTAAGGGATAAACATCATTACAACAAAAAGAACCTAGGCTGTGGAATCTAATAGTCCTTCATGTATTTAATGAGCAGTTACTGGTGACCTGTTTTGTGCTGGAACTGAACTGAGCTCAAATCCAGATTCAGCCATTTAACCTGTCTAAATCTATTTTCCTCTCTAAATTGAACATGCTACCTACATTTTGCAAGTGTTTGAGGATTAAATTCAATGACATACTCCTTTTGGTACACATATGTCCTCGATAAATGCTATTTCCTTTTTTTCACGTTTCCTCAAAAGTAACTGAACACATTTCTTTACGTCTGTGAAAAAATATAGTATATAGAGGATATACCCAGGAGAAAAATGATCTCAAACTTGTAAGCAAGTAATTTCAAATTTATAATTTATATTATAAACCTCATATTTTGTTAGTAAAATTACCTATTCAGAGTCTGAGAAGTAACGTCCTTGAAGTTGGAGAACTCTCATAGCCCACGCTGATACCACTACAGTTGCTAGAAAATTATTTTATCCTAACCAAAATTTGCTTTTCCAAGAGGCTTGAATATCTGAGGTACACTTTCTTAGGCAAAAATTTAAGAATCATATTAAGCCCTCGCTCTGCAGAAGATACTGCACAAGATACTGATCACACTTGAAAGCAAATATACAGAGGAGGGCATGGCGACGTAGGACTCTCACAAACTCTGGTGAGAACTGAAAACCTGTACAATCTTCTAGGAAGGTAAGCTGGCAGTATACACAGTATCAAAGGCCTCAAAACCAACATACCTTCTGATCCACTAATTATACTCCTAGGAATCTATTCTGAGGAAACAGACAAAAGATTCAGGCACCAGATGCTCATTGTAAAATAATAACATTTTCCAAAACTCCACATTCAATATGCATAGGTGGCTAGAATTATATTTTTTTAAATATTAAGAGTGATTGTTTCTGAGTAGCAAAATCATGGTCAGTTTTTATTGCGTTACTTTTTTGTATGTTCTAAGTCGTCTGCAATTCAGATGTGTTGATAAAAAAACTTTTTTTTTTTTGCTGAGGAAGATTCACCCTGAGCTAACATCTGTTGCCAATCTTCCTCTCTTATGTTTGTATGTGAGCCGCCACCACAGCACAGACACTGACAAGTGGTATAGGTCCACGCCCAGGAACTGAACTCAGGCTGCCTAAGTGGGGCATGCCAAACTTAACCACTAGGCCACCAGGGTTGGCCCTGAAAAAACGTTTTTTTTAAAGCAGCAAAACAAACTATTGTCAGAGCTAAGAAAGTAATAACGTATTTGATTATCACTTTAGAATTTTAAAAGTGATTTCAGATACATAGCTGGATCTTTAAAACATGCCATTAAGGTGGATAAAGTGATTATTTTGTCAATTTAACAAATGAGGAAACGAAGGCTGAAGTCATGTCACTTGCCCATGGTTACACTTAGTTGACACTAAGAATCCATGATTTTCATTTCTAATTCTATGCTCTTTTCTCCACCAGTAGTTCTCAAAGCATGGCCCCAGATCTGGCAGCAGCAGCACCACCTGGCAACCTGTTAGAAATATAAACTCTGAGGTCCCACCCCAGACCTCAATCAGAAACTCGGAGACGGTGGTGGGCAGCAATCCATGTTTTAAACAAGCCCTCCAGGATTCAGATGGATGATAAATCTGAGAGCCACTGCTGTGTATCATGCTGCCTCACAAACACATTATGAGATAATCAAAACAATTCTGGAAAAAAGGGAGTGGTGGTGTTATTTATACCTCTGTCAAGTCCATTTTCACATTTTCAGGCTCTTGCAAATTAACAGGAGGTAGTAATTATAATGATTCACAAAAATCTTAATGTTTGATTCCTGACAACGTAATTAACCAACTACTTTCTTTTGGATTACCACCAGCAGTCCCAGAGGACAGACAGATCTTCAGTACAGTAATATTACAGGAAATGAACTGACGAAAACACTGGAACATCACTAGCTAAAAATGCTCAAGAAGAAAGAGTCTGTTATATTTAGGTGTGTTGTATGCGTGGGCAGGGAGTGGGGGCAGGAATCAGAAACATAACAATTTTTATTAACTTGAACCGTTACTTCTAGATAATATTCTTCTGACCTTTGTAACCCTGAAAACCAATATGATGACCTGATCTCCTGTTGAATCCAGTCCATAACCACTTACAGAGCACTCGCTATATGTAAGACATTGTACAAGTGCTAACGGAAACACAAAGCTAAGGAGACAGTTTCTGCCCCATGTAACTTACTTTTTTTTTTTTTTTTGGTGAGGAAGATTGTCCCTGAGCTAACATCTGTGCCAATCTTCCTCTTTTTTGTATGTCGGATGCTGCCACAGCATGGCTTGATGAGCAGTGTGTAGATCTGCGCCTGGGATCTGAACCCATGAAGCCCGGGCCACCAAAGAAGAGCACATGAACTTAACCACTCCGCCACTGGGCCAGCCCTTGCCCTACATAACTTTTAACCTACCAGAGGATGTCAATATTTCATCAAGAATAAAGCAAGGCAAAGAGAGGGAGTGCCACAAGACAAATTTAAAAATTTGTCATGGAAATTCAAAGAAAAGTGACATCTCACTTTGGAGGGAGTAGACAGGAAAATGTGAGTCTGGGGAGACAGAATTTCAATAGAGAAAAGTGGAGGAAGGGGAAATATCAGTCTCTTATTACAGAGAAGATGAGGCAAGAAGTAGGAGGGGAGAGTGTGTGCAGAAGGACATCATACTGTGACTGCAGGCAAGAGGGGAAAGACCGATCGGGTTACACTGTCCTGCCTGGGACTAACTATGTCACTCTGGCCAAGAAAGCCTACCTCTGAATCACAACTACTCATTTACGATAGGAATAGTAACAACTATCTTATTTACCTCACAGAGTTATTTACTTGAAAAAAAGGCCAGAGAGGGAAAGGCCTCAATATAAAAAAACACAGGACGTGTTCAAAGTTCAATAATTATTCCTTACTGGGTAAATCAAAATTGTATAATATTGAAAATATTTCAGTGCAAAATGTTTCCATTTCAAAAATTACTTTCAGTTTCTATTATTAATAAGTGAATAAATAATCTGGATAACTAAAAATAATGTAAGCAGAAAAAGCAAATTATAAAAATTTTTTTAAAATAGATTTTATAGGAAAGTATCTTTTCTTGGGGAGGTTTACCTACCTAGCAATAGCATATTGGCAGTTTCTCCTGAAACTAAAAATACGTTTATCAAACAATTCAACAATTGGACTTTTGGCATTTATCCCAGAGAAATAAAAACTTACATTCATACAAAAATCTGCCTACAAAAGTTAAAAGCAGCTTTAGTTGTAACAGCCAAAAACTGGAAACAACTCACATGTCCTGAAATGCACCTATGGTTAAACAAATTATGATACATCTATATCACAGAATTAAAATGAATGAACTATTATTGCTGGATTCAAGGGAATTATGCTGAGTGACAAAAGGCAATTCGAAAAGGTTACACACTGTAACCTTTCTGAAATAAAATTACAGAGAGCTGGAGAACAGATTAGTGTTTGCCAGAGTGAGGAGAGAGCTGATGTGGCTAAAACGGGCAGCACTAGCGAGTACTGTGGTGATAGAACAGTTCCGTATCTTGACTGCAGTGGTAGCCACATGAAGCTACAGTTACATAACTACACACGTAAATGAGTACAAGTATAACTGGTAAAACCTAAATAAGCTCTTACATTATTTTCCTGGTTCTGATATTGTATTATACTTATTTGAGTGATCAACACTGGAGAAGGTGGGAGAAAGCATGCGTGGGACCTTCTTGTATATTTCTTTGCAATTTCTCATGAATCTATTATTATTCTAAAATAAAATGTTAAAAAGAAAGGTACACTGCCATTTTTTCTAAAGGGATGATGCCCATTCTTCTAACAGTACTATGAAAGTGGTATTCTTATCCACTGCTGATGGCATACTAAATTGCTACAGTCTCCTACGGAAAATGATTTTACAGCATAAATCCAGGGCCACAGAAGTTTTGTGCCCTTTGACCTAACCATCTAATTTCTTAGAATCACCTAAAGAAACACAATCAAATTTGGGAAAACATATATACATATACAGATGTATGTAAAGATATTACTACAGTGTAAATGAGAACAAAGCAAAACTGGATGCAACTTAGATGTTTGAGAATACGGAAATTATTAAATTCTCTAAATCTAGTCCTGAAATACTACGCAACCATTGATAAGGATCACAATGATACAACAATATAACAGAAAATGCACATTATGAGAGAACAAAGAAAAATTCAAAATTAGCTCCTAAAACATGCATATAAAATAACAGGACATATTTTTCACAAAAATAAAAGACGACTGTGTTAGTGTGACACACTTATGGGTATTTTTCTCAAACTTTCTTAGAGTTGTCATAGTTAAAAGAGTCACAGAGTTTCATAGTTAAAGAAATAAGCATACTTTTACCTTATCCCAGAAATCAACCAAAGCTGTAAAGTCCCATTTCTTAGAATATGCCACATTGTATTTCAGAATAGCATCCTATGGAAAAAGCATAAACAAAATCTCATGATATAGTCAAGTGAATTATCTGTGAATAGCCTGTCTCCTTTATGAACTACTTCCAGTAAATCCCTTAACGCTGGACCAGCTTCCTCCTGTCCTTAGCTACTCCACATCAGCATCCATGAACAAATAAAATGCATGCTAATTTATTATTCACTTAAGAAAAATGAGATTAGAAAGGTCAAGTAATAGTGGAAAAAATATCATCATTACTCTAAAGCATGCATTCGAAACAGAGGTGATACACTCCAAGTGAACAAAAATTGGATCTTGGGGATAAAAAAGTTTAAATATAATAATGCTTTCTGGCCCTCAATAGGGTCACATTATACATACAGATATACAGTGTATTTGTAGTATTAAAATTTCATGGGGAGAGTAAATTAGGAAAAAATGTCTAAAAAGGCTCCCTGGAAGAGAGGGCAATAATGAAAAAAAGATTGAGAAACATTGCCTTAAAGCATAAAACGGTCTTTTTTCCTTTATTATCAGCCATTTTTATAAACTACATATAAAATGCCTATCTTCCCCTAGCAGTTCACATGAATTAAATATTCACGTACAGTGAAAAGTCAAAATAGTACGCCATCTACTGGTGGAATGTTTAATTGTCTGAATAGGCAATACTCTTACCTGGTTACCAGAGTTAAAAACAAGAAAAGCGGCCCAAAACGGAGTCACTCGCACTAAACCGCAACTCACCAAACCGACATTAATTTAACTACAGTTTCAGACTCTCCCAGAAGTGGAATCTTAAATCAGTCAATCAGGAATCACCTGGTCAGCACTAATTAGGCCATCTGCCTGACAGACCCCTGCCATGCCCTAAACGAAAGTGATCTGGCCATAACCAATCTACTTTTTTTTTTTTTGAGGAAGATTAGCCCTGAGCTAACATCTGCCACCAATTCTCCTTTTTTTTGCTGAGCAAGACTGGCCCTGAAGTAACATCTGTGCCCATCTTCCTCTACTTTACATGTGGGACGCCTGCCACAGCATGGCTTGACTAGCAGTGCATAGGTCTGCACCCGGGAAATGAACTGGCAAACCCCAGGCCACCAAAGTGGAACGTGTGAACTTAACCACTGTGCCAACAGGCCGGCCCCAAAACCAATCTACTTTTTGTTAATGTAACTTCTTTGTTCCTGCTCCCTTCTGCCTATAAAAGTCTTTCATTTAACACAGCAACTCGGAGCTTCTTTCTGTCTGCTAGATGGATGCTGCCCAATTCAAGAATCATTGAATAAAGCCAGTAAGATCTTTAAAATTTACTCAGTTGAATTGTTTTTTTTTAACACCAGAGTGGGGTATGCATAAGGCAATCCATTAGTTACAGAGAAAAAAATATTATTTATAATTATATTTCATCTCATCCTTTTAATTTCTATTTTGACTATATTTTATAATGTACATATTATATTAATAAAGTAACATGTAGAGTTTATCAACTATTTGCATTTGTAACACACACCCCAAAATTTTTTAAAAATAAGTAAGTCTGAAAAACGCTGTTAGACTATTTAAACTTTCCAAATTTCCTCATCACTGAATAAGTTTTAAAAAAATTAATACTCTTGCCAAGGAGCTTCCTGAAACATCCTTCATCCCATATAAATAACCACAAAGCAACTAGGTTAAAAATTGAGCCAAAAAAATCCATATTATTTACTTGGAGTTGTGGATAACCAAGTTTCTTCAAAAAGGAAAAGAAAAAGCACCAACCATAAAATAACATGGCAACAAAAGCTTTTATTTTTTTCTCACAGCCATAACATAAAAATTTCCATTAAAAAAGAAAAGATTTTAAGAATTTTTCTCTAATGACTGGTACCTGATTTCAGAACCTCACAGAAAGTATTAAATCACAGTGTCTATCAACAAGTGAGTGAACAAACAAGGCATATACTGCAACAAACCGCTGACACACTCAACAACATGGATGAAGCTCAACGATCCTCACTCTGAGTGAAAGAAGCCAGACACACTGCATACACACTATGTGACTCCATTCACGTAAAACGTAAGCTAACCTATAGTGAAAAAAGCGGATCACCAGCTGTCTGGGGCCAGAGGAAGTGAACACAAAGGGGTAAGAAGAATCGTGGAGGGTAACAGGAACGTTCTGCGTCTGGACTGTAGTAGGGGCTTCTCAGGTACATGCAAACCTCATCAAACTGCATACTTTAAAAGGATGCATTTCCTCATATTTAAAGCATTCATCAAAGCTAGTAAGGAAAAAGATTTTAAATAGCATTTACACTCTAATTCTTTAATGGGGTTTTATAATTAGCATTAACTCCTAACTAGTATTTACTTTTCCATCAGTCTTCAAGTCTCAAAAGCAGTCTAACACGAGGTCTCTATCATCAGGAAAACTGGATACTCTTCTGTATTCTTAGCTATCAACGACTAAATGAGGTTTCCCTAGCTCATAATTAGCACAATTAGTTAAAGCACAAAGAAATCCATTCTTTGCAAATTATCAGGCACACCATTTAGAGAAACATCACTGTGTAATTCAACTTTTGAGGACACTGTTCCTTTTTCTTCAAAGATTTTATTTTTCCTTCTTCTCCCAAAGCCCCCCAGGACATAGCTGTATATTTTTTTAGTTGTGGGTCCTTCTAGTTGTGGCATGTGGGACACCACCTCAGCATGGCCTGATGAGCGGTGTCATGTCCACACCCTGGATCCGAACCGGCAAAACCCTGAGCCGCTGAGGCGGAGCTTGTGGACTTAACCACTTGGCCACCGGGCTGGCCCCGATACTGGTCCTTTTTTAAATTTTATCTTTTTTTTTTGGTGAGGAAGACTGGCCCTGGGCTAACATCTGTGCCAATCTTCCTCCACTTTGTATGCGGGACACCACCACAGCATGGCCTGATGAGCCGTGTGCAGGTCTGCACCGGGGAACCAAACCCACGAATCCCTGGCAACCAAAGAAGAGCATGTGAACTTAACCACTACACCACTGGGCCAGCACCCTCCTTTTTTAAACTTAACATGTCGAATCCCTCCTAAGTCAACATCAAATGGCATAAAAACAGCAGAAAAGATGATTATATTCAGTAAGAGGGACTGAATGTTTCCCCCTCCCTCTCACAGTGTTCTTTCAGCAAAGGAAACAATTACCATAAGCAGATAGAAGAAAATCTCGGTGGATTACTCTGCTCTGTTGAATCTACCATAAAATGAACAAGAAAGGGAAATTCAGATTAAAGCAATTACCCCTTCCTAAAGTAATCACGGCACAGTAAGGAACTGCTAAAGAGGTGAGCAGACAATGTAATTTAGAACAGTATGATTATTCTGTACTTACACTTAAATAAAAAATATGAAAATTCTTAATAATCCTATTTATAAGGCCATAAAGGCCCTAAGACAGGGTTTCTCAAATGGAGTCTGGATAGTATTTTCGGGTGGCCTGCTTCTGTGTTTGTCAGTTTATAATTGTGGTTTTGGGATACATGGGCCAAAAGACAATACACTGTAGAAATGAAGGCTGGTACTTTAAAGAGATAAAAATGATGTAAAGATTGAGCCATCCTAAGATACACTGCAGCACAGGAATGTCAAATTCTAAAGAACTTAGCCCAAAGTGGTCACTGTCATATTTATTTGAAAGCTGATGTTTTGTATACAGATCCCATCTTTGTATCCACCAACAGTCTATGATTAGTAAGAAAAGTAGTAAAGACAAAATGAAGAATTTTTTTCTTTATAGAGTATTTTTTAAAGTTCCTCAGCATACTATTCAGGGGTTCAGATCAGTGATTAAAAAACTTCTGTGCAAAAAGGGAATGGTGACTACAAATTGTTTTCACCGTGATAATGAGCACAACTCCAATGATGGTTCCTAACACTTAAAATGGAAAAAAATCAAACTGATAGAGCTGTACACTGTAAGTATAAAGAGTATGTATTTAGTTTTACGTTTGTACATATGTAATTAACATTATACTAATAAAAATAAGTAAACTCTGGCAAACCTTGAGAATTTCTTTCATTTAAAAGGAGTACAAGATTGAGAAACACTATCCCTAAGGATTGAAATTTTCAAAATACATTATGGTACAACATATCAATGTCTTTCGTGTTAAGAAAAAAAAAACGAGGAGCTACAAAAAAGGTACAGAAAGTTTAAGGATAACCTGTAAGTATAAATGGAAAAACAGTATAAAACCTGAGAAACTGTACACAGCAAATTCAGTCTCAAAGAAAATGAAACCCATTTTCACAGAAGTATAGAAACATCTGTTAGTGTTTATAGTTATAAAAATTTTAAAAGCTTATATGGCCACAGTTCCAAAACTAAACATATACTCACTCATATTTCAGATATTAGAAAAACAATCTAATGGTTGCCCTTAGTCTTAAGTGAAATATTAAAAAAATCAAAAACTAAATTATTGCCAAAGTATGATTAATAAATTATTAAACTGCTAGAAGCTATATTAAGAGCAATAAAAATAGAATACTTAATGTATACTTTAATCATTAGGAAACTCAGCTTCCCTTTGGGCAAATATTGTTCAAGTCATAATTCTTTCTTGATTTACTTTTAAAGGCATTTCAGAAACATAATTCTAAAACAAAAATAAAAGAGAAACTTGGACTGAAGGAAATTGGATGGGGAATCAAGAAACAGAGGTCTTATTCCTGGTTCTCCAAATTACTCTGTGTGGCTCCAGGCAAGTCATTTACAACTCTCAATGCTTCTACTCATTTGCTAGTGATGGAGTGGAAACCAAGAATGTCTCTAAAGAGACTTCCTCAGCAAGCAAGCACTATTGCATACAAATAATGTTGTTACCTGAGTCTATTAAAGATCAAAAAATGTCTTTGAGGGAGGAGACACTGGTCCCATCTCTAAGACATGTAAGAGGCAAGAGCAGCAAAAAGAACATACCTTCAGGTTTTGGGGTCGTGGGAATTTGTTGAGAAGTGCCGTCTGAATGAGCTCCCACCGGCTCCCCGCAGTTCGCTCACCATTCTTTAAGGAAAAGGAAAAACAAATGGGGAAACTACTCGAAGTTCTTTTGCATCACAGAATCATAAATCAAACGAGCGTGCACTAAACTACCTTTCAGAGACTAAAAGAACATCAGTTTTGTTCTCACCTCATCTTCCACAGGGTACAAATTTTGTTCTGAACAAGGCATCTTAACATGTTTGTTGTCCCACAAATCTTTAAAATGTGTTGGAAAAGGTTTAGGAACTTCTCCTGCTCGCAAAAGATCTACCTGAAATAGAGGTAAACAAGAAAACTGTAGGCGCATAAAAACTAGGTGTATCTTTTACAAAATAATCCAAAGAAGGCAGCCAAAGCAGATGATATAAAATACAGACCAGCTCCTAGGCAAGAAAGTCTTCTTGAAAACTCAGACCTCAGAAGTCTTCAGCTGCTCCCACTCCTCGTCTCTATTTAATCAGTCTCCAAGTCTCCATGTCCTGGGCATTCTATCTCCATCCCACCTGGGTCCCTGGTCCTCTTACTCTTTGCCTGAATTTCTGCCAACGGCCTTTTCTATCCCTCTCCGTAATATCAACTGATCCCAGACACATTCATACCCCATAGAATCCTTATCCCCACTTGGAAATAACATTATCTTTCTAAAGTATTCTCAGGCTTCTAATCCTATAATGGCTCCCCTCTGCCTATACTCTGATTTCAAATGATGTTCCCAGTTTTTAACATCCTCTCTAACCCAAACACAATCTGGTTAAATATCTATTCTGACCTTCAATACTTAGATCAATTTTTGTTGCCTCTAAGACGTCTTCAGAAACTTTTTAAAAGGCAGCTTATTCCATCTTATTTTATTAGATCATTATCATTCTAGAGCATACTTTTTTTCCTTCTCCCACTAGACTCTAAACTTTTTGAGAACAATAACCATATTAACTTTGTATTCTGAATATGTATGACAGAGCCTGGCATGTGTGTTTTTATACATATACGTGTATATGTATGAATATGCAAATATACACATGTATATATACACATATGCTACTTATAATAAGCATTAAATAAATATTTGAGGAAGGAGATATCTTAAAACATAAAAGTTTTCTATTTTGCTTATTCCAGACATTTCACATAAATGGAATCATATAATACATGGCCTTTTGTGTCTGGCCTCTTTCATTCAGCATAATGTTTTCAAGGTTCATCCATGTTGTAGCACTGATCAGTACTTCACTGCAGATAATCAAATAATCACATAAATAAATACAAAATTTCAACCGTAATATGCTATGAATGAGAGGTTCGTGGTGTTATGAGCATCTATTTCAGACAATTTTAACTTATCTGGTGAGCTTAGAGAAGAGTTCCTCGAGGAAGTGGTAATTGAGCCAAAGTCCAAAGGATAAAAAGAAGTTAGATAGGAAAAGAGGAAAGGAAAATTGTTCCTCAAAAGGGAACAGCTTATGAGAAGGAAGCCTGTCAAATAGGCAGCTTCATAAAAAGTCCGGAACTCAAGAGAAATAAATTTATAGGCCATCTTTAGTGACCATTAAAACCCTAACTGTGGATGAGACCACTCAGAGAGAGAGGGAGAAGAAAAGAAGACCTATGAAAAAGCCTTGAGAAACTCCAACATTTAATGGCCATATAGAGAAGAGCTACAGAAACCTAAGAAGCTGCTAAGAAGGTGGAAAGAAAACTAGGATTATACGGTATCATGGAAGCCAAAGGATGAGAATATTCCGAGGAGGAAAGAATGGTCGAGAGTCAAAAGTGGCTGAGTCATCAATTATGCCAAAAGTATTTTCACCTCCCAATGGAAGCCCCACAGGTGATTCTGTAATGTTCCATGTCATCTGAAGTGACAAAACAGGTACCAGTCCAGCTTCACACACAGGGGAATCATACATGAGAATATGTTTACTATGTGTCTGAAAGTGTGTGCATCTATGTTTGCATGTATGCGTATAAGTGTGTTTGTGTGTATGTTTGTGTGTGTTCATCTGTGTGTTTACAGATAATCAAGCACTGAGTGTTATGTCCATCCAATTTCAGATTGCCTTACATTTCTAATGCTAAATATCAGCTTTATTTTATTACTTCAAATTCTGTAACTATTAATATCTGCCATCTTACAAATGTAACTAAGGACTGTTTATTTAATAACTATTAATTACACATATATCATATTACCATAATCAGGAAAAAGAATCTAGAAGAAAATACACCAAACTGTTAAACTCTGGGAATAGGACTAAGAGAGACTTGGGTTTTCTGAGTTATATACTTTCACATATAGTTGCTTTTTTTTTTTTTTTTTTTTTACAATACCCTGCATTACTTTTATAATAAAATAAAGATTTTAAAAAGATTCTTAAAATGGGTCATTGAGTATCTAACAGTTATTACTGAGATTAAATAACAATGGTATAGGATGCTTTGGGTTTTCTTTGTGGGCAGTGGGAGAGAGGAAGGTAGAAAAGTAAAAATACCACTGATCTCCCCAATCAATTTTTCTCCAAATCTTCACCATTAACATCTTCTCAGTCATCTAACCTTTTCCTAATTTTACATGCATTCTCAATGCTTCCTTATCCCTTATCACCAATATTTAAGAATTCACCATGTCCTATCAATTTGACCTCAAAACAATGCAACCATCTATTTTCTCTTTTTTATTTCCACAATTATTACTCTAGCTCAGTAATTTTTCAGCCTTTTTTAAACAGCAGAACTCTTTCTTCCCCCTAAAAAATTTGACATGTAATCATTATATTGAAATCAAATAAAGACTATTTTCATAAATATAATTTTTACAATAACTTTTACTTATTCTAACACCAATAAATGACAATGAGACTGTCTTAAGAAATATAAAATTTGAAATTGGGAGTTAGAGATGACAGCTACAGCTTATATCAACCTACTATTTATGTTTATAACTCTTACACAGTATTAAGAAAACCCTACTCACAAACCTAAATACTTGCAAATGCTAACTCTTTTTAACTGTCATTTTAACGTTTAAGGAAACTCTTCAGTTAAACAGCAGTGACAAGAGAACTCTGACTCTATGGTCTGCACAAAAATGAGTTCTCTTGGTCAAATCTGCTGGTTAAAATATGGTATTAAGCATTTTCAAACTAAAGTGTGTTTGTTAGTTCTTTTATTACAGGTTGTTCATAGTTAAAAATATAATTTGGAAAAGAAACCTGAGTCAAATTTCAAAAGAACCCCTGACCCACTCCCACGCAGTGCCATTTGACAATTACCGTCTCCTTACTTTTCATCTCTTATCTGAGCTCTTACACTACCCTTCCCTGTTTCCAGTGATCCTCACTTCAATTTTCCTTACAGACAGCTGTTTGATTAATCTTGCTACAGCACAACTGTTGTCTGCACAGGCATTTTAGTAATTTGCAATACCTGTGGACTCCAGTCCAGTGCCTGGCACCTGAAGCCCTCTACGATATGGACCCAATCCACTTTTCAAGTCTTCTCTTCCACCACTCCCCATCCTAATTCTAAGCTCTAGCAAACCAACTTTCCATTTCTCAAACAAATAATTTTCAACTACACAGCCTTTTCTTACAAAGGTTATGTATCTGTCTGGAATTCTCTTGCCTTACTAACTCCACCTCAGAAATTTCCGCTCATTTTTAGAGCTCAGCTCAAACGTCACCACTCTGCTCAGTGTCACTGCCACCTCTAACCATGCTAAAGAATTCTGTACTTCAAAGTATTTAATCACATCTCGACTAAGTTGTACAATAAAAGGGAGTTTTTTTAAGTAGTCCCTCTGAAATCTAATACAGAGACTAACTAATAAATGAGATGACTATTTAAAATTACCCAATGAGTGGGAATCTTCTAAAATTGGATTATGATGATGGTTGCCTAACTCAGTAAATTAACTAAATATCACTGAATTGAGCACTTAAAATGGGTGAATTTTATATACCTCAATAAAGTTGTTTTTAAGAAAAAAGAATCCACAGAAAGTATAAAAGAGTTCATCAGGGGCTAGTAAGGAATGAGAAGTTACTGTTTAGTAGGTACAGAGTTTCTGCATGGGATGATGAAAAATTTCTGGATATGGACAGTGGTGACAGTTGAACAATGTTGTGAATGTTCTTAATGCCACTGAAACGTTTGAAACGTTGAAAACTAGTTAAAAAGAGTTAAAATGGTAATTTTATATTATGTATATTTTACCACAATAAAAAAAATAAGGTTGGTTTTGGACATGTAGAGTTTGAGATACCTGGGGAACAGTGATGGAGATGTCTGGAAGAATCTAAAGCTCAGAAAAGAGGGTAAAACTGGAGAATGGTTTGAGCATACTACACCATATGCAACTTTGAAATTTAGGGACTAACCCAGAACCCAACACGTAGTAGGGGCTCAATAAATATTGTCAACTGAATATTAAAAAAAAGAATCCAATGAATTTTCTTAAAAATACATAAGAATTGCATTTCCTCCTCAGCTGACAATAATTCATCTTATGGATCTGTTAAGTCCTGTATTAAGTAAGCTATCATTATACTTCTCCATTCTGTGGATTTCTCAGTACTTTATAAATGGAAAAAAAAGAAGCACTTTCTACGCCTTGGTCTATTTTTCACTTGAGTAAGTATCATAATAAATCAAGACTTAGAGTCTTCGCTCTTTATGCGTAAGAGATAATACCTACCCGAATAGTTACTGTGTGATTGGCAGATGGTCTCAAGGGAGGCAGGCGGCTCCCACACCTAGGCATTCTTCTCATCTCCTCAATAGGAGTTCCAAGCCATTTCTTATCTGGAGAAAGGTGAGGCGGAATGTATTTAGGGATCTTCCTTTCTGTTCTTTGATGTTTGATTTCACATTGTTCTTTTCTAAGGTTAAAACAAACGTACTCAGTCACAAACCACTTACTGTTTAAATTCACTTGGATACACAAGTACAAGACTTACCCAGAATGTCACTGTTTAAAATGTGCCACGCTTGCTCTCCCTTCTTGGTATTTACAAAACAAAAAACAAAAACACTTATAAAGCTTATAGGAGCTGTGGTTAAATTCGCACGCTCCGCTTCAGTGGCCCAGGGTTCACCAGTTCAGATCCTGGGCATGGACCTAGCACCACTCATTAGGCCATGGTGTGGTACCATCCCACATGGAAGAGGCAGAATGACCTACATCTAGGATATATAACTATGTACTGGGGCTTTGGGGAGGAAAAAAGAAAAAAGAGGAAGATTGGCAACAGACATTAGCTCAGGGCCAATCTTCCTCACCAAAATAAGCATTTAAAAAAAAAAAAAGCTTATGCTTATTTTCAATAGTCAGCGGAAGGAACTTCCAAATACACATAAACCACCTTCTTAAAAAAGGGACCATGAAAGAATATGGACACTGCCAAAGAGTCATGGTTCATAGTATCAGCTATTTCTCAGGATTCTAGACAGCGATTTTCAAAGAAGTGCACTTACTATGGCATGCTTGGTAGATAAGATCACAGAAATTATGGAGAATGGGCTTTAAGATTCCATATGGGTTAACTGCAAAAATGTAATTTTTTACATTTTTTTTGTAATCACAGGCTGGTATTTAAATCCCAGCGTTACCACCCACAAGTTATATAATTTCAGAGACTTCTCTAACCCAAATCTCAGTTTTCTCTTTTGTGAAGTGAGTACAATACTACCTGCCTGCCCGTCAGAGCTCTAGAGAAAATGCGGTAAACAATGGCCTAGGAAAACGGTTAAATAAACAATAGCTACTATCAATCTAATACTTTGGGGGGGGGCGGGATTAGCTCTGAGCTAACATCCACTGCCAATTCTCCTCTTTTTGCTGAGGAAGATTGGCCCTGAGCTAACATCCATGCCCATCTTTCCCCTACTTTATATGTGGGGCTCCTGCCACAGCATGGCTTGATAAGCGGTACAAAGGTCTGCACCCAGGATCTGAACTGGCAAACCCCAGACCACTGAAGCGGAGTATGCAATCTTAACCACTACGGTACTGGGCCAGCCCCTAATAATTTTATGTTCTGATAATTCCTATAAATTTCAGAAGGATGCTCATGAAACTAAAACTCTGATTAACTGTATTTATTTCTTGTATTCTGTTTCTGGCCTTTTTAGAACTTGAGTCTAGGGTTAAATTTAGCATAAATAGTTAACAAGAAAGACAACTACTTCTCTGCTTCAGCATAAATCATAACTTTCTAAACCCCCCCTTACAAAATTATAAAACATATTATTCTATTGGAGATACTCCTAATGGAAATAAAAAATACCTTTTGTCCTCTGCTTTGGGCAGTCTCATGAAATGATCTGTGATTTTAGAATCCTTTTTTCCATGTTGTTTGGAATTTCTGCATTCTACATTCAGGCTAGAAGTATTTCCAGGTAGTTTGGCATTTAAATCATTCATTCCAGTGCGACTCTCTCCTCCTTCAAACTGGAAATGCAGTCGAATTTCACCTCCCTTTGCAGAGGACCGTTTCCTTGGCTCAGTGTCCGTTTCTCTTGCTTGGGACCCTGAAGATTTATTTGCTGTGTGGGAGGAACTGCTATCTTCTTGTTCATCAAAACCTGGACTTGTCTCTTCATCTGCTTCTGAATCCTGACAACTATTTTTGGAATTATCTACATCCATTGGTGACTCGGGTTCACTTTCTTTCTCAAATGGAGGAGAATTTCCTAGGCTACTTGCTTGTCTACTCAATTTGTTGGCATTTTTCAGTTCCGTACCAACATCCTCAGAGCCGACGTCTGACAAGGGACTCTCTGGCACCACGTCTATCTCTTCCTGCTGACAACCTGTACAGTCTTCCACAGGATGGCCAGACTTGCTGCACTTCTGGTGACTTCTGGTTTCTCTGTCCTGTTCATCTTCTGCAGTCTGCTTTGCATTTGCAAGCTTTACAGGTGTCAAAAATTGTTGATTATCTCTACTTTCCTCACTATCTGTGTCACTGTGATCATCATTTTGGGGTGACTGGTCAACATTAGCATTACTGAACTGCTCTGGTACCAGAGTTACTGTTGCAGGTTCACTTTCCAAAAGCCGCTCTGTGTGCTTCCCTTCATTTTGCCACTTACACTTGGCTGCAGTCTGATGTTGGTTCAAATACTGTGTACTTTTTTCAACTGGTGATTTATCCAGACTTAGCTGAGAAACATTTTCTAATTTTTCCATGTTATGTTGATAAAAGTTATCTTTTTGTACAGAACTCATCATGGATTCTACTCTCGTATTGTTGTTCTCTTTACCATGCAAACTACAAGAGAAGAGAAAGAACTAATGATACAACAGAACTTACGACACAATAGAAAGAACTTATGATACAAAAAAATCACTTACCCAACCACGCTCCCACAATGTCACAGCAATAATTAAGCTACTTGTGATTACCTGAGCATACAGCACACTCTTGAATGTCTTCATGTCTTTGCACGTATGCCCATAATGCTCTTTCCGCAACTGTGTGGCTGGCAAACAATTGCCAAAGTGAAGTGTTAAACTTCACTCACTTCTTGTGTGGTCTTTCCTGCAAAGGTAAAGCTGATTGTTCTATAAGCTAACTGCCACTGTACCTTATTTTACACCTTTACTGTTGCATGTATCACACTATGTAATAATCATGTGTTTTTGCATCTGTCGCCATCACTACACTGTAAATATCTTAAAGACAGAGACTATTCCTCGTTCAACTCTGTATCTCAAGTATATAGGACAGTCCCTGGTACATGGAATACTTTAAAAACTTGTTATTTATAAATAGAGAGAATGAATAAATGTAAAATGTAAATAAAGAAAAATGGGAAAGCAAGAAGAAGAGAAAATAGCAAGAAGGAAGATAAAACATTCACATATCATAGTTCATTTTCCTATATAGGCATGTTTCTGTACCTTTCTGATTCAGCTGTCTTGATTCCTTTAGTGTCCATCCAACTGGTAATTGTCTTTTGTTTGAAAACTGTAAAAACAAAAACCAAAGAAACAAAAACATTAACATATATGCACACATGCCTTCAAAGAGAAAATACCTACAGCAGCATATATATATGTAAGGCACTGTGCCAGGTTCTGTGTGTGAAACAAAGATTAATCACTCCTTCCACACTCAAGCAATGGGAGATAATACAGGAACATAAAGATAAATACATTTGGCATAGAGTAGAAAGTGACCAGCCCCTAAAAGAGTTAGTATGGCCTAAAGGATAAGAGCATAGGCTCTGGAATCAGACCACCTGGATTCAAATCCTGACTCTCCCACTGGATTCTTATGTGACTTTCTGAGAGGTCATTTCTCTATGTCTCAGATTATTTATCTGTAAAAATGCAAATTAATAGTATCTCTCCCGGGATTACTGTGAAGTTTAAATGAAATAAAATAATTGCCCATGCAAAGTATTTAGGGTACATATCCAGTATATGCTCAGTAAGTGTCAGTTCTTAATTATATTTAGTATTAAAGGAGATCCTGATAAGGAATTAAGGTATTTCTGAGGAAAAGACAACTTTAGGGAACTGAGTTAAGTGGGATAATGTGATAAGCAGTGCTTGAATTGTGCCTTGAAGAACAAACATGTGGTCATATGAAGGGAAAATCAGAAGCAAAGGCACCAGTGGCAGGGGAAAATAAAGAACTTAAAAAGAAAGCAACAGAAAATATGGTTGAAAAGTCTGCTAGGACTATATCATAGAGGTCCTGAATGACCCACAAAAAGAGGTACAAAAAAGTGTCAAAAGTCACACTCAGAGCTGTAATTCCAGAATTCAAATCTAGGAGCCTCCCAGTCATGCAAGATACATAACCTAGAGGGCAAATCTGAAGGGGCAAGAAGGAAGAGCCTATAGGTGGAAACCAGTGAAGAAGCTATCACTCTAGGTCAGTGGTTCCCAAACCATTTCAAGCTTCAGGAGGATGGTAACAAATGGATCCCAGGCCCATGCCCAGACCTACTGAATCAGACTCTATATGTGTGATGATGGGGCATGAGAGGAGCTGGAAGGTGGTTTTTTTTTCAAAAAGTGATTTTGATGATCAACTGGGTTGGAGAATTATTGGCCAAGGACCAAAACTAGTCCTTGCACGAATAGAGAATAAAAGTTGAGAAGTGAGAGTCATCACAGACTTCATAATGGCAGAAATTAAAGGTGACACTAAACTAAAGGAGACTTGATAGATGGTGGCAACATTTAACAGAAACGTGGAATATAAGATAATTGGATTTAGGGAAAAAATATGATTAAGTCAATTCTGGACACACTAAATTTAGATGCCAAAGAAATAATGGACAGAAATGACCAGTGGACAGTAGCAAAAGTAGAATTGATGGCTTAGTAGAGGGAGATTCAACACAAATAAATGGAAGCCACAATTTACACAAGCATTAGAAATAACATGCTTTCAAAATTTAATGTACTGCATATGGATTAAACATATATAATATTTTACTACAAGAAAACATACAATCTTGAACATTCTCAACTACTGTCTATATCGCAATGTAAGAATCTAGGAACCGTAAGTCACAGACTCACTCTTACTTACCTATGTCCCCTCAAACACTATAACATGAGCAAAACAGAGACTGTCTCAAATATATGAAAATCAACAGTTTATCACTGTATTTGAGTGCCATATAATTTATACATTCCACAAATACTAACATTCCAACTGGTAAAAATCTTTGATTAGCATTTTAAAATAGTTTCTATCACAAAACGTTAACTATATGTGTATTTGATATTTCTTGTTAAATACCACTACTTTAGTGATTTTATTAAGGGAGTACTTCTACAGCAAATTAGGCTTCAGAGAAAAAATTAGTTTCAGTCAGAAAGGAGTAAGAGGATGAACCACTTGATTCTGAGGCTTTTTCTATAATTGCATCTTCTCTATTTAATTTCATTATGTCAAACACAGCAGTATAGAAAACCCTCAAATTACAAACAATGAGCATCTTTGGAGTCAAAGTAGAAGTTAAAACACCCTTTTCTATAAATGTAAGGATTCAATGATATGCAATGGCTAGGTTCCTATAATACACATGAAGCATAGTACTATGATGACAAGTCTGTGGGGCCAAAAAACTGCATATAACATCATGTCATAAAAACCTATGAAGAGTGTTCCAGTGCAGCTGACGGAAGGAGAGGGCTCTCTCCTGCAGCTCTGACACCGAAAACATGTTCTCACTCTAGCTTCACGCTTCCTACTATAACTCCTGAAGCCTGAGAACAGGATGAAGGAGGAGAAGCAAGAGGTGAGGAACCAATATTTCCTGCTAATAAAACATTCCTCAGTCCTTCTTAGGGTCCCAGAGAAAAGACTGCCTAATTCTCTTTCCAAAACCACTACTTCTGGCTTCCAAAGCTTTCTTTCGCAGCACATCACAGGACTGTTTCAGAGTTTCACCCCTCTTATTCCTGAAGGAAGCATAAAATGATGTTTCCCAAGTCCCCCGGGAATTTCTTTCTTTTAACTAGAAATAATCACAGCAGACAAAAAGGGAGGCAATGGGAGGTGATGAAAAAGATACAAGATCTTGGACTGTGATCTTTGCTCAGTCACCTACTAGTACTTCATTTCTCTGAGCCTCCATTTCCTCACCTTTAAAATAGGGTTAACGATACTTTCCTCCAAGGCTTATGTAGATCAATGGGAGAAAATATTAAGAGTCCAGTATCACAAAGCAGAAACTCAACAAATGTGTTATCTCCCAACACTTCCACTCAATCTCTTTTTTCACTGAGATCAGTTTTCTCCAAATTTATCCTGACTTTACACCATTTACACACAATCTCATCAGTTGACATCACTCAGTAACCAGCATATTTCAATGAGCAAATCATTCAATTTGGTGCTATAGATAGAAGTAAAAGGCACAAAATGCAGTAAAATTCACCTGATTTCAAAGGAACACCTTACATCCACAGAAAGTCTCTTTCCTCCAGCAGCAGAAAGATAAGGTATGGGAAGGAAGGGTGTGGTGAGACCAAAGAGCAATGGACAGTGGGAGAGTTCTGAGATGAGGAAAGAGGTCTGAAGATGCTTTGGACAGCACTGAGGCTGAAAGAATGATAAGGGGAATGGGGGTCAAGCCAGCTCCTGTCACCCCACCCACCCACCACTAACCTTCACTTGGGTCATCCCTGGAATGGGAGAGAAATTCTAGAGGCAGAAAAGGGGCGCTCCCATAGCAACGCAACTTGATAAACCATTTCCCATCAGAATGTGAACAGCGCGCTGAGTTCTGCCTAAATGCAAATTTGCGGATTTCAATCAAAATAAGAAATATGCCCAGGAAGATAAATAACACAAAATTTAGAGATACTGAATAAATATCCATTTCCCTATCTCACTTACTTCTCCTAGGATAACTATATAGAAAAATTTTAAATACCAAGTTCCTAAAAGAAATCCAAAATTTGAAACAACAGCTTTTGGAACAAACTTAGACTTTGAATATTTTGTTAACTGGTGTCCTGTGCCAGGTATGTATACAGAAAACATTTACACATGTAAAGTAGAGCCAAGTATTAATTTGGTTCCTCTTCTGTAGAAACTCTTTCTGCAGAAACACAAGATCCAACCAGTGAGGACTGACTGTCCCACCACCTGCAACTAACTTCTCCTTTATATGCAAATTAAGTTAACAAGACCACAAATTAGCCTGCACAGAAGTCAGATTCAGTATTTGGAGGTCACCCTCAGTTCCCTCTCCCCTCCCCTCTCCTTCACCAAGTCCTCTGAAATTACATTCTAAATTTTAAACCCATCCCTTCCTCTCCATCTTCAAAATAGCACCAACGTTAAAAGAACAGGTACATCACTAATTGGCAACTGCATTTGTTTTCCTGCAACTGGTCCCCTTGTCTCTGGCCTTGACTTTCTCTAACCCAGTCTTTTACAAATGACCAACATTTTTTAATGAAATTAATACAGAGAACATAAGAATGCATTATACATAGTAATAGTAAACATAAGTGTTATTTCATGAAACATTTGTTTGCTTTAAACATGGCATATTTACCAGGTTACACATATTTCTTACACTATATAACAGGTGAAATGTATACTGTGGGTTGTAGTCAGAAAAGTACAAAGGCCACTGCCTAAGCCATCTTTTCTAAAATATTAACTAAATGATATCCCCCTTCTTAAAAGCCTTTTAGTCATTCCCCATTAGCCACAGAATAAAATCTAAACTCCTTGAAACGGCACTCAAGTTTGTCCATAAGCTCTTGCCCCTCTTCCCAGCCTCATCTGAGACTCCTGTCATTCTGTGGTCCAGTCCTACCACCTTTTGCACGTGCCATTCCTTCTGCCTATATAATTCTTTCTCTCCTTGATTTATATAGCAAAGGCTGCTCATCCTTTAACACTTAGTTCAGATCTGCTCCCCATTGTCTATGTCCTCAGAGAACTAAGTGTACACCATTCACCAGAGGACCGCTGACCTCTGCCCAACCTCTTATACTATTGACCAAAGCATCCTTTTTGAAATGCTCTCTTGCCTGCATGACACAAAGAAAGCCAGGCTTTCCTCCTACTTCTCTGGCTGCTTCTCTTCAGTTTACTCTTAAATGCTGGTGTTCCTAAAGTTGCTGTCCTAGGTCACCTTTATTTTCTCTACACGCTTTATATGATCCAATCTACTCCTATAGCATCACTTATCACGTTCCTGCCAAGAACTTCCAAATCTTTATTTCCAGCACAGATATATTTCTCATGTATCCCATTCTCTCCCAAATGAATCCACTTCTCCCTTCTCTTCTGCCTGCAACTAAGTATAAACCGTCATTATCTCCTAAACTAACTCCTTGTCTTGGGCCTGCACCTCTGCTCCCTTTCAATCCTTTCTTTATTTTCCATGTACCAGCCACAGCGACCTTAAAAAAAATATATATATATATATTTATATATGATCAAGATACTCCCCCACTGACAACCCTTTAATAGTTTCTCATTGCCCTTAAACTCTGAAACCCTCAGCACTGCCCATGTCCCAGTATAATCTATCTTTGCCTACCTCTCTGCAGCCCCCTCCCACTACTCTTCCCTGTTGATAGTATGCATCAGCTGCACTCCAGGAACACTTCCTTACTTCCTCTTTTTCTAACTCACTCATCATTCTTCAGTCCTCAGAATAAGCATCTTGTCTTCTGGGAGATTATCTCCAATCCCACAGGCTGGATTAGGTACTCCTGACTCCTACCATAAAGATCTGTCCCTCATCTATCCGAACATGCATTACTCATTATTATGCTGACTTCTGTAACTGTCTCTCTCCTGTTAGATTTTACAGTCTGAAGACAGCGGCCAAGTTACCCTTGTGCAAAACTGTACACGAGAGACAAGTACAATTCCAGCTGAGACTAACAGCTCTGCACTCGGGGACCTAAAACCTGAATTGAGGGAAGTTGTGACTTTCTTTGTAGCTTTCTTTCCAACCAGAGGCTGAAGCTTCACATAAACAATCAGACCTCCTTAACGACTAAAGCAATTTCTCAGTCAAACCCGAGGAAAGCAAACAGGTGGAGTCTGTTGTTGCCATTTCCAGCCCTATGAGTCACTACTCACGGCTTCTCACACCATCAATGGCAACGGGAAAAATATGGTCCATTTCCCCACTAGTATCCTTCGTGGCTCAGCAAGGGGACCTCAGAGTGGAACACACAAGACCATAAAGGGGTGACTGAAGTCCCTGGTCCTTAGACAGAGATCAAGCAGAGGTTTGCGCCGAGGCGAATGACAAAGATCTTTATTTCCCCACGTACCAAGCGAGGTGGCGCTGCCTCTGTGCGGTCCCGCCCGCCCAGGGACGCAGCCTGACGAGGACGGCGGGGCCCTGAACTGCACGGGAGCGTCCTTGGGATCGAGGACGCGCCTCTGCCTGCCGGGGAAGCTCCGGGCGTCCAAGGCGGCCGGCGGAGAAGTTGCAGAGGTGACCCAGCGGGGTCGCTTGGTGCAGGGCTCACAGCCGGGGCCCGCACTCATGCTGGGACCCGCAGCGCACAGTCCCCGGGCCGGCCCGAGCGGAGAGCCTCATTCACTAACCCTGAGAGGGACGGACTGCGCCTTCTTCTCGGCGCCTCGCGGCACCATCCCCTCTCTGCCGTTGCCTGCTTCTGCAGTTGCCACTCCGCCGGCCTCCCGAGCCAGGCGCTGTCCAGTCGCCTGCCTTCCCTCTTCTACCGGCACCCCACCTGCCTCAAGACGCGCCGCTTTGATCCCGGCTTCCTTCACTTTCCCACCACCGGAAGGCTGCCGTCAGGCGCTTCCGACTTCCGGGGCGTACACTGTCGCAAAGCGGAAGTGTGAGGCTTAGCGGGCGCCGGCGCTCAGAAGGTCAGCGTGTGGGGAAGGTGGTGGTAACGCGGGTCTCCCCGCTGTAGGCGAGGAGCTACGGCCGAGCCGACGACCCCAGCCTGAGGCGGCGGTGAGAAGCAGACGAGCGGCTTGCTGCGACACCATGGAGGGCGGCGGGGGAAGCGGCAACAAGACCACAGGGGGGTTGGCCGGCTTTTTCGGAGCCGGCGGAGCAGGCTACTCGCACGCGGATTTGGCCGGCGTCCCGCGTAAGTCTCGGGCCTAGCTTGCGAACATTTCTGCCTGGTTCTGGCGACCCGCCGGGCTTGCGGCGTACCCTGGGTTTTTTACTGGCGTCCCGAGCTTCATTGCGGGTGGTGGGGTTAGTGTGTCTGCGCGGCACTCCGTTAAGACCGAACGAGTTTTTGGAGCTGTGGATCCTCGAGAAGCTCTGTGATTGAGCAGAACTCAGGAGATGTTGCCTCTTTTCTTCCTTTTTTATCCCAGCCTCGTGCCTTGTCTTTCGTTTCACACATTCCTGTATGTTGGGCTGTGTGCTTGGCACTAGGTTAAGAGGAGAGAGCCCGGAGATGACTTTTCAGCACAAAGTCATATTTTAAACCACAAAGTAGCCGTCAGGGTAAAACTCTCAATAATAATGCATGTAGGCGAGAAAGAAATAGAGTTGGGACAGCTGGAGGAGCTGGGAAGTGAGCTGAGCTTTAAAGGTCATTGATAGGCATAAAGAAAGAAGTCAGGTAAGACTTTTAAGAAAGGAAATATGCGAGATCGACGGTGCAGAAGCCTTAATACCCTGCCTGTGCCCTCCCTCCGTCCTGTGAATGGGTAGTCCAGATCTTTGGGACTTTATAACTGAGAGTATTAAACTGGATGACTAGGACTTGGACTTAAAGATAGTAGGAAGTTGATGGAAGATCGCTTTGTAAAATAGCTTTCTGAGAATCCTTGTACTGTTTTTCTAGGTCTTTTATGCTCAAGAATAAAAAAGCCCTTATAAGTTCCTACTGTCACCTGTGTCAAAACAATGTAGAACACAGTTTGTGTATAATAATAATAAGTCTTAGCTCTGAGTTATGGAGCACAAAGGGCATTGCGGTAATATGACAAAGCATTGTTATGTTATTTGATTAAGATTTAAAGATAAGTTGAGAGACTGAGGGGTGAACACCATTTGAGCACCCACAGTGGGCCAGCACCTTCTGGGTGCAGGACTACAGCAGTTAAATTTAAAAAGATGACTGCTGCTTTCGTGGAGTTTACATCATATTGAAGTGAGCCAAAAACAAGCAAAAACATTTCAGTTAGTGATGCCTGTGTGAAGGCAGTAAAACATAATCGTAAGATGATGATGGGAGCAGGTAACCATTTTAGAACAGATCAGGGAACACTATTCAGGGATGTTGACATTTGAGCTGTGACCTAAACAACATACAAATGCCTGGGGGAAGGCAGATGTACCAGGGAAAATGGCTAGTACAAATGCCCTGAGAAAAAACAAACTTGGCGCATTTGATGAACAGCTGTTAGGTCAGTGTGTCTGCAGAGTTAGAAGGGAGTCGGAGAGGTAGGAGATAGAGATCGGAGGGGCAAGGAATGGCAGCTAATTTAGTGTTTTGTAAGCTGTGGTAAGGAGTTCGGATTTGATTACAAGTGTAAATGGAAGCTATTAAGGCTGATCTTCCTTTCTTAAAAGATCGCTAGTTGCCGTGTGGAAAGTGAATTTTTAGAAGAAACTGAATTGAACGGACTAGAGCAAGTCAGGAGTCCAGTTAGGTAGAAGATTGTTACTGTAGTCTAGGTATATTTAATGGTTGGACTAGGATGGTAGCAATAAAGACGGTGATAAGTAACACAGTTAAAGATAGATGTTGAATGTAGAACTAATAGGACTTTCAGTTGCTGAAAAGACCAGTCACGGGTGATGAATAAATTTGTGAGCAAACAACTGAGATGCAGAAGAATTGAAAGATTACGTTTAACATGTGAGAAAATTGATCATTTTGGTAGATTTTTCTATCTTCAGACTTAGTGGAATTCAAAGTCTGGCCCTCTGAACGTTTCCATTTTCTTTTGCCCTGACCCCCATCCCTATGGTGATGACCCAAAAATTCTTTGTCCTGCCACGGTAAGTTAATTCTGTCAGCAACTGTCAACACTAAGGGAACTGCCTTAAAATATTTATACACAACGCATAACCCAAACATTGTTTTTCCCGTGGAATTGGTTGGTCTCTTGTCAGTCTTATTTTGCAATTTGTATAGTTGTCACACATTCTGGTAACAAAATAGAGGGAAATTATTGGGCTATGCTTCCTGCTACTTTGATTATTTGATCCATATTACTGCCAATATCTTTTTGGCGTGAGAGCCTGAGGAGGGCCCCAGAAGGGAACAGCCCCAAAACTGCCAGACGGAGGATAAGCGTAGAAAAGTGAGAAAATTTCACATTCAGTGAGCCTGTAAATCAAAACTGCGAAGCATGTGAAACAATCAAGAGCAGAATTAAGCTACATGAAATAACTTTGTAAAATTTTGTTGCAACATGATGCTTTGTTTTCTCTCTAGTAACTGGTATGAACCCTCTGTCTCCTTATTTAAATGTGGATCCACGATATCTCGTGCAGGTAAGATTAAGACTAGTCCTTTTATGGTTTTACTAGTTTGGTGCTTTATCTCACTGTTTAAAAAAATAATGCAAGTACTTATGCTGACTTGATCTATGATATGTACTTCTGGAGGCACCAAATCTCTTATCACCATTCCCCCTTTTTTCTTGCAAACCCTGGGGATTTGGCTTGTATCTCTCCCTGACACTAGTTGATTAATTCCCTTTTAAGGGTTTTGAAGTTTGTTTTTTGTTTTTTCCATTGTTTAAAGTTGTGGCAAAATACACTAACATAAAATTTACCATCTTACCCTTTTTTTAAGTGTACAGTTCAATGGTATTAAATACATTCATAATGTACAGCCGTCACCACCCTCCGTCTCCACATTGCTTTCATCTGGTAAAACTGACTACCCGTTAACCAGTAACTCCTCCTTCTGCCTTCCCCCCAGCCCCTGGCAATCACCCTTCTGCTTTCTGGCTCTGAATTTTGAATACTCTTATGTACCTTAAATAAGTGGAATCATACAGATTTGTCTTTTTGTGATTGGCTTATTTCATTTAGCATAATCTCCTCAAGGTTCACCTATATTGTAGCGTGTGTCAGAATTCCTTTCCTTTTTAAGGCTGGATAGTATTTCATTGAATAATATTCCATTTTGCTTATCCATTCATCTGTCCATGGACGCTTGATTGCTTCCATGTTTTAGCTACTGTGAATAGTGAACATTGGTGTACAAATACCTCTTCCAGACCCTGCTTTCGATTCTTTTGGTTATATATCCAGGAGTAGAATTGCTAGATCATATGGTAATTTTGTTTTTAATTATCTGAGGAACTGCCATACTGTTTTCCACAGCAGCTGTACCATTTTACATTCCCACTACCAGTGCACAAGAGTTCCAGTTTCTCCACATCCTCATCAACACTTGTTATTTTCTGGGTTTTTGTGATAATAGCTATTCTAATGGATGTGAGATGGTGACTCATTGGAATTTTGATTTGCATTTCCCTAATGATTAGTGACATTGAACATCTTTTAATGTGCTTATTGGCCATTTGTCTATCTTTTGGAGAAATGTTTATTCAAGGCCTGTCCATTTTTGAATCAGGTCATTTTTATTGTTGTTGAGTTTTAGGAGTTCTCTGTATATTCTGAATATTAACCCCCTATTGGATAAATGTTATTCTCCCATTCTGTGCTTTGCCTTTTTGCTCTGTTGATACTGTCTTTTCATGCACAAAAATTTTAATTTTAATGAAGGCCAATTTTTCTATTTTTTCTTTTGTTACCTGTGCCTTTGGTGTCATATCCAAGAAATCATTGCCATGTCCACTGTCATGAGGCTTTTCTCTTATGTTTTCTTCTAAGAGTTTTATAGTTAATAGGTTTTATATTTAGGTCTTTGATCCATTTTGAGTTCATTTTTGTGTATAGTATTAGGTAAGGGTTTAAATTCCCTCTTTTTCATGTGAATATTCAGTTTTCACAGCACCGTTTGTTGAAAAGACTTATCTTTTCCCCCATGAAATGGTTTTGGCACTCTTGTTGAAAATCATTTGACGATTTATGTGAGATTTTATTTCTGGGCTCTCTATTCTATTTCATTGGTATATATGTCGGCCTTTATGCCAGTACCACAATATTTTGACTACTGTGGCTTTGTACTAAGTTTTGAAATCAAGCAATGTGGGTCGTCCAGCATTGTTCTTTTCCAAGGTTGTTTTGGCAACTTGCGGTGTGTTGAGATTCCATATGAATTTTAAGATGGGTTTTTCTATTTCTGCAAAAACGTCATTGGTATTTTGATAGGGATTGCATTGAATATGTAGATTGCCTTGGGTAGTATTGACATCTTAACAATATTAAGTCTTCCAACCCATGAACATGAGGTATGTTTCCATTTGTTTATGTCTTCAATTCTCTTAGCAAGTTTTGTAGTTTTTATTGTAGAAGACTTTTGCCGCCTTGGTTAAACTAATTCCTAAGTATTTTATTCGTTTTGATCCTGTTGTAAATGAAGCTGTTTTCATCATTTCCTTTTCAGATTGTTCATCGTCAGTATGTAGAAATGCGTCTGGTTTTTTTTGTATTGACTTTGTATCCTGCTACTTTGCTGAATTTGTTTATTAGTTTTAACAGGTATTTTTGTGCAGTCTTTAGGATTTTCTATATGTAAGATATCATCTACAAAGAAAGAATTACTACTTCTTTTCCAATTTGGATGTCTTTTATTTCTTCTTCTTGCCTAATTGCTCTGGCTAAAACATCTAGTATTACATTGAATAGAAGTGGTAAAAATGGGCATCCTTGGGGC